ATTGTCTTAGAGAAAATGCCTGGGTTGCCACCCCAATGATGGCTCTTGATTTGATATTGGATCCAACGGGCTTATTGCCTTGAGAACTTTGTGGCATGTTACTTGTTATCCTTGGTACCCAGAAAATTATGATGATCATGTTGTAATCTGTTTTAAGTGGAGAATGTCATTTGTAATGTTCTTGAGAGACATAAGTATTTTAACTGTCGAATTGTGGAACCTTCTTTTTTTTTAAACAGATTGTCTTTATCAAAACTATATGTCAATCTAGTTTGTGTGATATATATCTTATTTTGGAATTGAACCCTGTTTTTCAAAACTATATTTACTATCCACACTTCTACTCATTGAGATATCAGTTGACTTAATTGTTTATCATTTCCATGTGATAGAAGGACTTAGAGTGGACTCATGGCGTAGCGGGGACTCAATTGCATAGATCTCTAGGACATTCATTATTTTGTTTTAGCTTGTTATGTGAGTTTTGTGCATACATTGTGTTTGGGTTTTATTTAGAATTATTTTATTTTGTGGGTGGTTTCTGTTCCATTTAGTATATATTTTTGGAAGTTGGTTATGATTGGTTTTACCATTTATACTCGTGACATGTCACTAGATTGGGTTCTGATTTATTTATTTCTAGACTATCGTTACATTTATTCTTTGTGATTTTGAGTTCGTGTTTAGGCTTACGTGTGCCTTGGGCTAAGTCCCTGTGGGCCACGGCCGGTCATGCCTAGATTTGGGGTGTGACCAACTTTATTTGACAAATATTTCTTTTGTATATATTTTTCATAGTAAATTGATATAGTCCATAAACCCAATACCAAATTTTACGTTTTATGTTTTTCTTCTTAATTCTTTCAAGGCTGTTTGGATTTTTTTTAACGCTAAATTGCCTTCTTTTTTTATTATTTTTCCGTGCATTAGTTTATATCTAATACCAATTCTATATTATTCTATATTATGATTTTGTTGTTTAAATTTTATAGTGATTCTATATATTAAATTATGCTTCATTTCCTGCATTATTTTATATAGAGAGCTGCTATTAGCACTTGCCAAAATACTTTGGATCCCCCATTTCCTTGAGCCCCACCCTAAATCCTAAATTTCAATAAAATTTCTTTGAACACCCCACTTAATACCAAATTTATCCCTATTCATAATATTATCACACCCAAGGCACACCACTTAATTTTGTACACCCTCTCTCATTCTCTTTTTGATGACCATCCATCTCCTATTGAAAAGAACGCCGACGATCATTGCATCAGTAAACACCATTGCCTTAGTAAAGTGCATTGCATCGGTGATCCATCACTGAAATTCTTTTCAAATCTCAACGAAAGAAATAATCGACTTGACGGTGTCCAAAGAATGCCGTCGAAAACTCGTTAGGAATTTATGTCCACATTGCCTCTCTTCTTCCTCACAGGTAAATACCGACTTCCTATCTTATCAGCAACATTGCCTCTCTTCTTTCTATCAAATTTTTATTTTTTGGTTTATTTCAGCGTAAAAGAGAGTTTTAGAGGGAAAAACCATCACGAAAAACACAATATGGTGTTGAAGATACAAAAATTGAACCATTCGACACACCAATGTCGAAAATAAAGGTCATGTTCGATTCAACAGTACCGACTATCTATATTACTGTTTCGAACCCATATATTGAACTAAATGTTTGCGTTCAGTACTGTGGTACCGAACATAATCTTAATAGTTGGTAAACTAGTACCGAACAGCTCGAACAACAGCTTCATTAGAATTGTTATCATCGTCCTCCATTGCTCTACGAGGTGAAATAACTAATGAAGAGTAATACGCTGGACTTGAAATGAGCTTTCTGGTTCAAGGTTCTGGTTTAAGAGGGTTTCTGGTTTAAGATGGTTATGAAAAGTAACAGGTTTAAGGTTAGAAAGGTGGAATACATATAGCTAGAGGTAGAAGTAAAGGTCGGTGTAGGGGTGGGGGTGGGGATGGGTGTGGGTGTACAATATTGTATAGTGTTAGTTCTTATTTAGTAGGTGGGTGTTCCATTAATTGAAGTCTTTTAATGTAATTTTACTTCAGAGTATAATTGTAATAAAGGAAAATTAGAAATTGAGGGGTCAAAAGAATTTAGGCAGGTTCAAATAGAAACACTCTTTATATAATCACTACGCACAAGAGAAAAAACTTGCACAATAATGATACTCTCGAGGAACCTCTAAAGTTTGGATTTACTATTTGAGTTACTTTTTCAATTATTGAACAGTAAGTCTTTATTTGAGTTACTTTTTCAATTGTTGAACAATAAGTTTTTTTTTTTTTTTTATCTTTTGACATTATATTATAGATGAATAATCATTTCACGCACTGAGATATATCTATCGTTTGGAAGTTTTTGTTAATTTTTTTTCTTTTTAGGTTTAGATGTTGTTATATGATTCTTTATTGGTTAGTCATTGTTAAATTTCTTTTATTTAATTAAAATTGTTTATTTTACAATCTTATAATTTAATATATATATATATATATATCATATAAAATCATTATATGATAATCCAACTACAACATAATTATATTTGATTTTTTTAATAAATTTTATAAAATTTCTATTTCTATAGATTTTTATTTTCCAAATTAATATAAAAGAAAATTAAAAAGTTAGAATTACTCTTAATTTTATGTTATTAATTCTTCTTCTAATTTAAGTATTATTTTAAATATAGTTAATTATCCAAAAGTCTTATTTATAAATGTCATGGTAGCTCAGGTCCTATTTAAAATTTTTTGAACCAATAAGTCCTATTTAGTAAAACTAATAATATTATCTTTTTTTTTTAATTTTTAAAACTAAAAATATTATCAATTTTGCATAGTAATATTCTACATAATTGTTTCACTAACTGATGGCAGAAAGAAAAAAAAAACAAACAAACAAACAAACAAACAAACAAACATGAGATTAAACGTTTTTACCCTTTTAGTTATTGGTTTGATTCAACTATCCAATAAAACGAAGAACATTAAAAGTTTTTTCCATTTTAAAACTGAAAACATTGTAACGCCTCGAAATAATTACTATAACCCACACTCATCATCAATCAGGGACCACAATAACAAAGTAGTTATCTTTCATTGATTTACAATTTAACTTTACAAAAGAGTGATATGGTAGACAGACAAGATGAAAGTTAGACAAATAAGAAATGCCTAAAAGCTTACATCTTTCCAAGACAATACATGGTTACAACAAAAGTGGATTTAAGTCCAATACAATTAAAGTCCTTAGCTTGTACAAAATAAATACAGTAAATACACAAAAGAAGCTCTCGCTCCAAGTCCTCCCAAGCTTTTGTCTTGGCAGAGGCATATCATCAGCACCTGAAATGTTTTTCCCACATAGAGTGAGCCAAAGCTCGGTAGAAATAATCTAATACAGTATATGAATCTTAACAAAGTTATAAGGTAAATACATATGCAATGTTCGTGCCAAAACATTTTGATATCCCTTTCCAAAACAATACAATGTCATAATAGTATCATAATAATATCGAACACACTCTTTGAATCACTTTAAAATTGTAGAGATTGGGAGAGAAAGGAAAATGATTGATTATTAATTTGATATAATATCAAAATCGCCTATCTAAAAATATAAAAATATATTTTGATGATATAATTTATAAAAAAATTCTTTTTCTTTTATATAGGGGTGTTTTGGAAATACGGTAACAAGTTGATTTTTGACTTTCAATCAAACTTTTTGACTTTTTTAGAAAGTAAGGTAGGAAGTTGGTAAAAAGATGCTTTGGGCTTTTTTGAATTAATATTTGTTTATGATGTCACATCACAATAAAATGACTAAAATACCTCACCCAAATTAAAAAATTTACTTTTTGACCAATGTGGCTCATTTACAACATAGAGGGTAATCATGTAATTTCATTCCTTGCTTTTTTACAAACTTGCCAAATGATGTTTAGCTTTTTATAACTGCTTATAGCTGCATTTTTTGAAGCTGCAAACGCAGCTTTTAATTGGTTCCTAAAAGACCACATAGTCTATCTAGACAAAATTGGATAGAAATCATTATCTTTTATTTTCTTTTTTCTCCAACCTCTCTCTCTCTCTCTCTCTCTCTCTCTCTCTGTGTTAATTTAACAAATTATTTCTTCTCTCTCCTAGATATCCAAAGAATGCTCAACTTGAGAGCCCAACCTCAAGAGATCAAAAATGAAAAATTCAAGCACGCCTTGGCTATTAAATTTTGATAAGAAAATTCCTTCATTGGCTGGCAATGAATAGAATTAGGGGGGGAAAAAACAAAGCAATTTTTGTGATCCTGTTTATCATATAATGTGATTCTACATGAGCAATATTACTTCACAAAAATAAATCATAAAAAAATTTAGAGAAAAGAGAAAGAGATGAGATCTACTCCTTTGTGGTTCATACTTACCACTAGATAGTTTTGGTCAGGGATGACCAGTTGCCCTTGGTTTCTTACCCTAATTATCATGCAATATGACAAAAAAAAATTATAAAAATTGAAATTAAATACAATAATGTGATTTTTAAAAAAATGGTAAAAACATGTTAAGCTTATGATTTTCATAAAAGTAGTTTAAAAATTGACTAATTCATTTGAATGATGATATTTTCACATATTACTTGAGAATAAATATGTAATTTCATATACATAATCACCATCAAGTTTTATCTCAATTCAATTCTCTATTAGAGTCGACGTTATAGATGAGGTGTTCCCTTACCAAGTGTAACAAAGTGTGATGTCCCGATACTTCACAATCTATCACAACACCAATTGGGTTCCTCAAAGCTGTGAAGTAGGATGCCGTGTTCCCTTACCAAGTGTCATTGGGCTATGTTCGAGAACCAAACATTTTAGAGAAAAAGTCACTACAAAGTATTAATTCATTCTTTACGTTTTGCATATTTTTCATAAAAAGTTAAAAAATAATTTAAAAAAGTCAATTACCAAATGAGTCTTGATGTCCGGTCACTTTCACAATCAATTACAAACACCAAAGCAGTGAAGTTGTGGAACTGTTAAAATGAACAATATTGAATACAAAATTCCCTAGCCCTTTCATAATTCAGTAGTACTTTTTGGCAGCTTCCCTTCATCAACAATAATCAGTTCCATACAACATTTAATTTTCTCTATATTTAAACCAAAAAAAAAAAAAAAAAAATCCTCAAATAATGTAGTTCCCTTTGAATACATGGAAATAGGGTAAGCAGAGCCTACCCAATGTTAACCGTGCCAGCTTGGGAAGAATTAAACCTGGAATTGCAGATGCTACCAACTTTCAGTTATGAAACAGACCCGAATCCATTTCAGCTGAAAACAGAAATCAAGCGAATCTCCCAATAACCTGTAAATTTTGAAGTGCAATATTTTCAAGTTAGGTAGTCCAACTAGGGTAGCTCGAATCAAAACATAAGCCATATCAAACATCAGGAGACATCAAAATTGTTTCATGAAAGAACATACATGACACCTACAAGTCTATAGCCCTAGTTAGAGAAGATTGGACTTGCCTCGGATATTAACGGCTTGGCATTCTTTTCCCACTCTGTTGCCCACCTGGCGGAAGACCCCATCTCCAATGCACCATCCCTTAAGGACTTTAAAGCATTACATTCATCTGGAAAACCCTTGAAAAGCATCTGCATTGGTTTGCCAACTTAAAACTTAAAAATCCCTAGTCATATGTAATGACTATAAGATTTTTAACAACTGCTCAATATCAAAATACATTTGCTATCCATAGAAGGATTAAATATATTCCATCTACAAGCAAAAAGAGGCAAACAAAACAGTAATTTTTCTATACAGATTTGGCAGATGTCCTTGCTTTGGAAGTGTGAACTCCAGAAATATAAATTGCTTATTGCATGTTGCCATGAAACAAATTCCACCAAAATGGAAATTCCTTGGGGTTCTTTTGCTTAGCAAGATAGTGATGGAAAATGCCTGTAGGAAAAAAAAGTGTAGGAAACTGAAATTTCCCGTACAACCCTCTTCAGCTTCTAAACTTTGATTTTGGTTTCCAACAAAATATGCATGGAAGTTTTTTTTCCCATAAAAGGAACAATTATCACGCTTTCCAGATTTGCCCATGGATCCACCCACTTGTTTAAAATGGACAGGGACAAATATGTAAAATACAAAAAATCCCTTTAAACTTTCATGCTTTTCAAATTGCCAAGCTAAAATTTTCAATCATTTTCTTGCAAAATTTTCATTCTAATGCATGTAAGAAAATAAATTTTCTTTTCTTTTTCCGTTTTATCACTTCACTTTCAACCATTTTCATTTTCCATCATTATTTTATTATGGAATGGACCCATGAGAAAATCATTCAGTTTCAACAAGCCATTTCCTATGTGCCTATCCCACGCTTCTTTACCTGTTCGGTTTTGAGAACCAAGCTGAAAACTACAACCCAATAATCCAGAACTCGGCCCATTCTGTTTTGTGCTTATTGAGTAGCTGTGTTTTGAATAATCATTCACAATTTGAAAATATACTACATCAAGTGAAATTGATTTTTATTTATTCAAAGCACTATCTGAAATGTAACAAAGGAATATTCTGTTTTTAACAAAGATGGTAAAATTTAATGATAAAAAATAAGAAGCACATTCCCAGATATCAGATACATCAGACAGTAGTGAAAAAGACTAGAAATAGATTTGCAATGATACATTACTTCAATTCAAACAACTTACCAAGAGTTCATCAGCTAGCTCTGAAGATGATGAGAAAAGCAGGCCATTTTTTTCAACTTTTACAAGTTCCTCTATGCTTCATAAAAGTCAATGAGAAAAGTTGGAATGTATGTCATGTCTCATCCATAAAAATCACAAGACAGGTACAATGAAAAAGATGTACCGATTTTTTTTACCAAGAGTATGAAACAGCACAAACAGGCAGTCCACAGCCAAACATATCAACAACCTAGTGAAAGAAAATTTCAATTATAATAGGGCAGTTATATTAGTTAAGTTTTTTCATCCAAAAAAAATGCCCAGCTTCTTCAGTAGGTACTAGAAACTTGACAACTGAAATACCTTCATTGGAAGATCCAAGCCAGATGACGAGGTATGCAGGCACACACCTAGGTCTGCTGATCCTGTAACCGTAGCATCGATCCAGTTACTGTAATAAAGTAAGTGCAAGCAGTTGTAATTAAAACAAAAGCAGAAACTATACATCGCCTACCAAGAAGTAAAGGGTAATCCTCAGCTGATAACCACATGGTACGAAATGATACACGTTTGAGGTTCAGTTTCTTTATTTTCTCTTCATATTTTTCCTTTTCAGGTCCTTTACCTTCATGTAAATTCAAAATCGTTCAAGTCAAAAGTGATAACATAGCTCTTCTCATTCAACTAAAACTGAATTAAAATGAATTTGATCTTGCATGTAAAGAAAGTGCATTACCTGTAATGATAAATAACAACATTGGGTACAAGAACTGCTTCCCATCATAAATTTCCTTCCATAGAACCTCTTCCCCAGTTGAGTCATCTTCATTTAATAATGCAGCAACACGTCTATCATACATAACTGCTGCTTCCAAAAGAATGCCAAAATCTTCATCTGGAGTCCTAAAAAGAAGCATCACTCATCATGATAAAACAGTTTTCTTAGGATTTGAAAATTCTGACAGAAAATATAATTAACAAAAGTTCATTTATGCGGTAAAGATCTTGATGCTAGTTAAAAATCAGTTAACAAGGTACACTAAAAAGGGAAATATTTCTCTTGTTGGTTACATCATTTTACTTATCAACCATAAACTTAAAGGAAACATGACATTCCATAAAACAAAACATTTTATACATGTCCAAAAATGAATTCAATAATGATAACACCTATATATTGAAACCAACTAAAGAATTCAGCATTCCCTCAGACTACCAACAAAGAGAGCACTAATTCAAGTCTGAGAGCAGCCACTTAGCACGAATGAACATTCAGTATATATGTAGTCCTAGCCTTCCCAATAAACAAAGCATGAAGAGCTCACCAGCTTGTACTGCTAACTATAACTGCTGGCCTGTTATGCTTCAAGAAAATGTCATTGTCAACCTGAGCTGAAAATAGAGTTTTATTCAAATCACGGCTCCCAATTTCTACCATTCCTGCAAGAAGCGGGTAAATTACCTAAATTAGTATGGACCCTACTCAACTTCAACTGAAACAAAAAAAGTACATATATTTTCAATCAGCTACATTACCATGGCTGATGCAATCTCGAAGACCATAAGGCTGACTAAGATGGCTGTGTATCCTACAAAACAACTACAACCCACAGTTCATTTTTTATTCTACAAGTCAATGTAATGCCTTTTTTTGCTTTCCTCCGAATGAGAACTTTCCAATAGAAAACTCAGTTCACCTTGTGCTTCTCCTCAAGGGAAGTGGGGCGAAAAAACTCAGGAGGCTGGTCATAAAGAACTGCAGCACTACAAATTTAAAACATGGAAGAAAACAAAAAAAAATGTACCATTAAATGGCTTAATAATAAATTTGAACAAGCAGAATGGAGGCTATTGCAAACTTTCAGGAGACCATCTTACTTAATTCCCCAGTTTTGTGCCAATTCATGTTGCATTGCCCTTGTCACGCATAAGGAACCATTTGCCATCTTCCCAAAATGCTTCTCAAACCTAGACATGCACCAAAAACTCACACTTCAGGTATGAAGACAAAGAAAGGCCTTCAAATCCAAAGGAAAGTTCAATTCAAATGTACCAATGGTATATTGCCACAAAAACACTACTTCTTCCGAGAGACAATGCTAGCAAAGTATATCCAAAATTGTGCCAATCAATAATAAATGCAGAACGCCTCAGTTCATAAGAAATATAGAAACAACAATTTATAAAAAAATAAAATAAAAAAAGTTCGTTTAAATTAGGCAAGAACCATATGAAGATTAAAATCCAACAAAACCAGAAGTCTTTTAATTTACCCCGAGTAAAACTCTAAAACAAAAAACAAAATATTAACGAAGAAGCAGATGTATAGCTAGGCCAAATACCAGTATCTTGCATCAACAAACGCCATACTGCAAAAAGCAATCAAATACTACGGAAGACAAAATAATGATTACAACAATTTTCAACTACAAGTCATAGGTACTATTGTCATTTTTTAAAACATTCAATGGAATCCTCTAATAGAGTCGTTTACATTAAGACAAAATAATAATTATGAAGGGATTTGTTTTGATTCTTATGATCCCATATCAATTAACAATAGGCTTGGCCATGTGAAGTGGGATAGTTTTTAATAGCAATTTATTTCTTTTTTTTATTCCATTTATCTGTCTCTCCCCCACCAATTAGTTAACCAATTTCGTACTTCTCTCTATTAACAAATTACAGCAAAATAAGAAGTTTTAGTTCAAATTATAAGATTAAAAAAACCATTCATAGAATTTCAGCAAAATGAGGGATATGACAGGATCGTTTCAAATCAAATATCGAAACCATTCATAGAATTTCACAGGATTGATTTCACCTTAAGAGAGAGAGAGAGAGAGAGAGAGAGAGAGAGAGTGGAGCTCACCGATATGAATCACTGAGATGAACTTCGATTTTGATTTCGAGAGAGAACTTCAAAATCGCTCTGATGAATCACCGACTTATTGACGGTAAACCTATTCAAATCAGTTCCTCTTTTCTAACTTGGAAAGGAAAACACATATGGAAATTATAATAAAGAGACCGGAAAAACACTCGGCTGGATACCAGTTTGATTACAAATCTGATTATTAACTTAACCTGCACTTTATATTGACCTTTATTGAGATAATCTCTGTTATTATATATAGAGCATTTTCCACTTGAATTTTTATTGGATACTTCACTTGAACAAAACATAGCAGCTCTGTAGTAGCAACTACTAAAGCAGGCTTAGCTTCCAACAACACTTTTCATGTCTGTATTCATAGTATTTGAATTGTCCGCCTTGACAATGAAGTAGGTAAAATTCTTTAACTTTATGAGCTTGTGATATTTTGAAGCTTTGCAAGACAAGGGAGTAATTTCAGAACATCCAAAATTGTGATGCTCATCATTTATTTGCTTAATATAGCTTGCTTGTATTGTTGTTTGCCACTTTTGGGCAACTGCAGTCCATACTTGCCACGCTATCGTACCATATCTACTGCAAACTAATGGTGGCTCAAGGGTTAGACAAATTAGGCAGTTGATTAGGCCCCTGAGTAGAAGAGGGCCTACTTATTGTATATTCATTATACAATATGTGTATACATCAAAGAAATTATAGTCAAAATAATTCTTCAAACTAAAAAGAGTAACAAAAAATCTTAGATTATAATTCACTACATAAGAAAAGGAATACAAAAACTTTAAACAATCAGCTGTAATTTTCTTGTTTGAGTCTACTTTCTTTACCTCGGTCCTGATAAAGCTGATGCAAATAATGGAGTAGTAGCACCATTGCCATCCACTTGGTGACCAGCAACTGTAATTGCTCTTGGTACCACAGGAGTTGTGAAGCTATAATCCAAATTGTTTTCAACTTCAACTAAAGCCTCCAAGACCTTAACCACCGCTGACATAGAAGGCCTCCTTAAAAAATCACTTTGTAGACACCACGCAGCAACCCTCATCATTTCCACGACTTTTGCTCTATTTGTCTGCATGTCATCATTGTATTTATCAACAATATCCAAAAGTCGTTCCTCTTCTACTTTCCTCTTAAATAGACACTGCTGGAAATTGAAGTTTTAGAGGCGTTTAAAAAACGCCGCTATAGGTCTTAAAAACGCCGTTAAATCCTTTTGTGATGTTTAGCACCAAACGCCGAAGATGCGGCCGCCGCTAAAGGTTCTACTCAATGTCACATGACGTCACCATGCTATTTAACGACGTTTTTAAAACGCCGTCGTATCTACTTTTCTCAAAAAAATCCAACCGTTAGGATGCTATTTAGCGACGTCTTAGAAATGCCGTAATAGCCCTCTTTTTTTTTTTTCTAATTTGTGCTAATTTTATGTTAAATGCCTGTAATTTCAGTAGCAGACAAACTTTTAAATATAGGAATACAAAAAATTATTAAAAAATGTACAGCCATGGTATCGGTCCATTCATTTCTGTCAAAACGGCCTTCGGCCCACTCATTTATGTCAAAACGACCTTCGGTCCATTCATTTCTGTCAAAACGGCCTTCGGCCCACTCATTTATGTCAAAACGACCTTCGGTCCATTCATTTCTGTCAAAACGGCCTTCGGCCCACTCATTTATGTCAAAACGACCTTCGGTCCATTCATTTCTGTCAAAACGGCCTTCGGCCCACTCATTTATGTCAAAACGACCTTCGGTCCATTCATTTCTGTCAAAACGGCCTTCGGCCCACTCATTTATGTCAAAACGACCTTCGGTCCATTCATTTCTGTCAAAACGGCCTTCGGCCCACTCATTTATGTCAAAACGACCTTCGGTCCATTCATTTCTGTCAAAACGGCCTTCGGCCCACTCATTTATGTCAAAACGACCTTCGGTCCATTCATTTCTGTCAAAACGGCCTTCGGCCCACTCATTTATGTCAAAACGACCTTCGGTCCATTCATTTCTGTCAAAACGGCCTTCGGCCCACTCATTTATGTCAAAACGACCTTCGGTCCATTCATTTCTGTCAAAACGGCCTTCGGCCCACTCATTTATGTCAAAACGACCTTCGGTCCATTCATTTCTGTCAAAACGGCCTTCGGCCCAAGCATTTATGTCCTTTGGCCCATTCAGATTTCCATTCATGTCAAAACGGCCTTCGGCTCGTTCATTTATGTCGAAACGGCCTTCAGCCCATTCATTTCTGTCAAAATGGCCTTCGGTCCATTCGTTTACGTCAAAACGGCCTTCGGCCTATACATTCATGTCAAAACGGCCTTCGGCCCACTCATTCATGTCAAAATGACCATAGGTCCGTTCATATATGTCAAAACAACCTTCGGTCCACTCATTTCTATCAAAACGACGTTCGGTCCATTCATTTCTGTCAAAACGGCCTTCGGCCCATACGTTCGTGTCAAAACGGCCTTCGGCCCACTCGTTCATGTCAAAACGACCTTCGGTCCACTCATTTCTATCAGAACGACCTTTGGTCCATTTATGTTTATCAGAACGACCTTTGGTCCATTTATGTTTATCAGAACGACCTTTGGTCCATTTATCTATTCATGTCAGCCTTTTGTCCAGAATCCCAATTAGCCACTCATACAGCTTATAAGGGAGTAAACCATTGGACATTTACAAGTATTCAAACATCGATATTACTCACAGTGATCGGCTGGCGGATTCGCCCTGGAGCTTGACCCTACACATTCCACGAACACAAAAGGGTCATTAACAATTCAATTCGTTCCTTAATTCACATATTCCTCTTTAGGCTTTATTCTTATCTCATTAACTCATTTACAATGCTTAACATATGCCTAAGAGTGCTTACAAGTGAAAGAGAACGGAAAACGAAACACAGAACGCATGAACAAAATTTCAGAAAATAGGGCCCCCGCTCGAGCGTGGACTTCCCCGCTCGAGCGGACCCTATAGGCCTACAAAAGTGTTGGTTGCATCAAAAATACGCTCGAGCGTGAAATAGGACGCTCGAGCGGAAGGCCTGTCAAAGTAGCTCCCCCGCTCGAGCGTGAATTACCCCGCTCGAGCGGACATCAAGTCTGCAAAAAGTACTGGGAGCACGCATTTCCCGCTCGAGCGTCAGGTTCCCCGCTCGAGCGGACCTCAAAATTCTGGAAAACCCAGAACTGTGTTCTTGAGCTCCAATTCGATTTTCCAGCTACATTACTTGCATGCAATGGCTCAAATCTCAAATATAATCATACCAACATGGTACCAATGCAAGATTATAACATTATGAAGCTCAATTTCTTGATTTATCTACATGCATGGCCCAAAATATGTCAAACTCAACACCAACATAACAAATTCATGCATTCAAGCTCATATCTTCTCAAATTGCACATGCATGTGATGAATTAGCCACATCCTCAACTTGGATAACCCAAATGGTGATCAAAACATAAGTTTCCTTTAACATTACATATGGATTTGTGCTCAAACATGCAATTTCACAGTAATTTCTTACATGCATGCACATATTAAGCTTCAATTCAACAATTCCAACACCATTTCATTTCAATCTTACTCTTGATCACCAAATTAGCTTGAACACACAAAATTACGAACTATAATCCAAGAATTACTCACCTAGAGGTTTTGATCTTCTAAGCTCTAGTCAATTCTTGAGCTAAATCCCCAAAATTTCCAAGCTTTAAGCCAAATTGCACAATTCTCACGTGTATGGAGGGATCTCCCTCTTGTGAAGCTTGTCTTGTAAGCTTTACAAGACAA